TCTACCTTTCTCTTCAACGTCAGAATGCACGACTGCTTCGGGATAACTACTTCATGCGTCTTCTAGCAGCACTACGAAAAATTACTGTGGTGGAAGGTAAAAACACGACCCCGACCTTAACCTGTTTAAGATGTCTCAACGATATTCAGATATGTTGATACACATCAGACAAACGGATTTCCGATCAGTCCAAATTTGCTGAGCCTCAGTGAAACGTGCTCTTGTGGAAGGCAACAGTTTACCTTCGCGAATGAAGTCTCAATAATAGCAAAATTACATAACTAAATGGCTTTTTTGTCTCCCTACGTTGTCGCTTGCAAACATTTATTATCTCTGTTACCTACCGCCCCGGCTAAGTATGTCTAGAATGAACAGTTTCATGCAATAAGCATGCGCAACATTCCCGACGTTTGGTATGTCTGCTTACGCTATCATCGGTGAGATGAACACAGTGTCGCACTCTTCCACATGTTAGGCACACACTAGACCATCCAACAGAATTGCCTGTAGACGATATTTTCCTACAGGTTAATCTGACACAGCCGTTGGTATGCGCCCACTTCTGCTAAGTGCAAGTTCAAATAACCTTAATTCGCTCTGGCTCAGGTCTGCACTGAACCCTTTAATTAGCCTTAAAGGGAGATTGTTTGCTCACAAACAACTTATTTCCTACCATTAGACTCCATTTGTTACACTTGGATGAGGAGGAATAGCAAATGAGCCGCGAGTGTAATAAACTTGGTGCTAATCTAAACTGTGAACTTCCAATGTAACATCGCCGCCGTCCAGGTGCCTCGTGTTTGTGTTTTAAAACAAAAGTAATCCGTCGTTAGAGGGAGAAATCAATTCACTACTTCATCCGTTTAGAAAATGGGTACACACCTACTGTGGTGCTTCGAAGACAATCCATGTCTTAGCAATGAAATGTGACCACATGTCCCACGTTTGCAACGTTTAGCTGGTTTAAGCCAATTATACGGTTACATGCGTGACAACGGTGCCAAACACATCGATTTCAACAACAATAGAGAGTTGGTTAAACAAAACGACTGAAAAAAGTTTTAATTCAGGCAATTGTATTCTAATTTTTGCCTTATGAATTGGTTTTGACCGCATCTATCACTTTCATAACCAAATGTGTTTCAATGGGTGCAAAAAAAGTGGTTATCTCTTTCGATCTCTTGATCTCGCTTTTCAAAGTGACTAGAAAGCATAGCTAGTGAAATTTTAGCTCAGGAGGCAAAGAGGGGAAAAACACACATTGGGATTGTCCAATTAGAAGTGACAGAGTAGGCCAGTGAAACACCTTCCTTTCACACACACAAACAGACAGTTTGGAGTCGGCTAAGAGCCACTTGGGATGAAGTGCACGCAAATGTGTAATACGATGGTAGTGGGAACAATGAGGGCAGACATTTAAAGATTCTTACTTGACTAGGACTGAAATGTGAAGGTATTTGAAAGGACAGGTTTACAAAAAAAATTCAGCTTAGTGTGCTCTACTGTTTTTGCTGTTTCCGCCACCATTTCAATGCCATAGCGCCTCGGTCTAAGCATGTCTTATCAGTTGGCAGACTACCCACCCAGTTTCATTCCCTTTTGCGTCTATGCATTCTTAGTGTGGTGAGGCTCCATCTAGAAGTCCATACACGTTACGTTTGCTCTCTAAGGTGTGAGGCAAAGGGCATGTATTGCTGAGTCAGGACTCAGCACAATAAACAACAACGGGTGAAAAAAAGCAGACAGGCTTGCGGACAAGACAATCGTCAATCCTTCAATCACTTCTTCTGGAGCTGAAGAAGGTCACATTCACACGTCAAAATGACTTGACACGTTCCTGTGTAACCGACACTGCCTTCTGCGATGGAGGCAGCACCTCATGTTCAAGTCGAAATTTCCTCAGCACGTAAAGGTGATTGCCATTTGTGATAAGTTGACTGCACCTTCGGCTACTTGACTTTCAAAGAGCTGCGCTCATCAAACGCAGAGATGACATTTTATGATTTGTCGCAACAAACCACAGAAAGGCGTCAATGGTGCACGGCAACTACACAAGCTTCCAATGTGAACCAACGTAAATGGATGAGAAGGTGGCATTTCCCCCCCACACCCTCTCATGGCTGAAAACATCAGACCGACTCACATATCCAAATCGGTGTAAAATGAGAAAGCTTTCGGTGGCAGGATTCATTCCAATAGTTTTCAGTTTCCAATTAACAAGCTGAAATAAGGAAAATAAATAGTTATGCATTAGTTTACTCATCAGTACAAGGAATCCTTCTCGATCCATTAATCGGTTTACAGCTTTATCTCTTCCTACCAGGGATCTTTTTAGGGTCATTGCCGAACATTCAGAAGTCGTTGCAGACGAATTACACAGCATTCTAATTTAAAGAGTAAATAATAGTTCGTTGATTAAAAGGAAGGTTCATGTCTTCATAAAATAGAAGGATGGGTCTCCCAGTAGCAAAATAGCCATTTGTAGGGACCGAAAAATTAGAGGGAAGCCACTTCCTCGAGCCCATTCCAATGAGATAGCCTCGCAACTAAAGCAGCCTTAATTAAAACAAATTAGAGCATGTGTAGCGTTTGCTAAGTAACCACCGAAAAAAAGCTGTTGAGCAGTTATGCATGCATTTCCTTTACAATTTACGATCCTATCGGATGACCTTGACGTGAGGAGCCTTTACAACGCGACCATTAAACACCCATCCATTCTATTTAGTCCTGGTTGCTGTTAGGAGTATCTGCGATCTAACCCCGCCCCCTCCCATGGGAAGGGAAGAGAGAGGAAGGGGTCGCATAGAGGATGTCACCAGAGCAAAAATGACCGGAAGTCAGTCGCTGCATAAACTGCAGAACAAAAATTAGCATTCTGTTCTTGAATAAGTGATGCGGCTTTACCTAATAAATGAGCACTTTCCCATCTGACATGGACAGGAAACAAAGAGTTCAGTGAATGGTGAGATAGCCTCTCAACGAGTAGAGAATTACAGAGGAGACTACCATTATCCACAATTACAAATATCTTGAAGAAATAGAAAATGCAAGCTTACCTTGTCACGAAGGGAGTCCGCAAAACTGGCAGTCTGGCCTGTGCAGTGAATAAGCACAGCACCCATCACCATTTCATCGTGTAACATCTACATCAATTCAAAAACGTAGATTTTAAAGTGAAGAAAAAAGCGTTAGTGACTGGCTGAAGTCGGGAGGATCAAGGGGACCTAAAAATCCATCCGTAGGAAATTCGACCCGACAGTCGAGTAGACTATACAAGATCGCTTCAAAACCACCACCTCGAAGAGGCTATTAAAACAGGAACGTGATTATCGTGGCAGAAAGGAGAACTGAGGTCTAATTTAGAAGAAAAAATTAAGAAGGGCGCAAATTGCACCTCACTCTTGAAGAATGAAAAAATTCCTACTTGGATTCGACCTTTAATCTTACGTAACTAAGGCACTGGAACGAAAACCCCGCTTCATTTTTTGCATTTCTCAAAAAAAGTCATGCTAGGTAGACAAAAATGTGTCGCAGAGTAGTGGAATTGGTAGGAGTAACTTTAAAGTCATTACTATCTCCACATGCCAACACCTTTAAAAACTGAGAGCAATTTTGTGGTCGTACCGACCGAGGGAGTGGCTTTCGGCCGCTCCATTCCCAACTAGAACAGGCCGTTTGTATAGTTTGTTTGCGTCCTAACCTCATCAATTCATGGAGGAGAAGAAATCGAAACTCACCGCAAAGCGGGCCAAAATGTTTGCTCCTGCCCCTTCGCCAAACAGTACAACATGGTCAATGCTGAAAACAAGAAGAGATTAAAAAAAAATCTTTCAATTGGCGTCGCTAAGTTTGGAGCCTTTCAACTTCGACACTGTCAGCATGTCACACAAGGAGCCACATAAAAGGAGCTACGCCTTAAACGGCAGGAGATCAATTTTCTGCCAACATTCGCCTCTCCCAAGTGTACACGTGACGCGAACAAACGCCGCCAAGGTTTTTTGTCCCCCTGCAATTTTCCACCCAGCCAAAGTTGGTGCAATAACTGTGTTTTTCTCTCCCTCTCAAGGTGAAAATATCAAGCTACGGAAAAGATGATAAAATTGTTTTGAAGGTGGTGGAGGGAAATAAAATCGGGTCAAAGTACGTGTCGCTTCTATGAGTAACATTGAGGCTGCTGCTTGGTCAACAGCAATGGCAACAAAGTGAGTATTGTGAAAGCGTAGAATGAAAGGTGATAGGAAACGCACTTGAAATGGTCGAGAACACTTTTTAGACTTTCGGCGATGCTCCACAATGTCGGAAATGTATATCTACAATTTGGAAGCAAGTTTACAGTGAGTTTTCTGATGAGTAGGAGACAATTTTGCCAGTACAAACATTGCCGTCCATCTTTTTTGGGTCACTTCGACATAGCCCATGTGGCAGAGTCAGTTTTATTTTAAAAAAAATCATCCTCTTTTTTTTCTTAGCACCTTGTGCTTCCAGATATGCCTTTTCGATATAGGGTAATAAAACAGTCTGCTGAAGATTAGCATCGTTCAAAGTTCGCAGAACATAAATGTAGACAAGGTCGGCAAAGTTAATGAACAAATTTTAGTCTACACTGTGTTTTAGCGCAGAAAAAGGTGACGAGACCCAGGGGTGGAGAGAGTATGAGCGACGACCCTGGAGTCTCACATCGAGGCGATTTAACTGCCCTCCCAAAGCTGTTCAGTCACTAACACAAGCGGAGCGTTAAGAGTCGTCATGCTTACTTGAAACCAATAAGGTCGCAGACCATCTTCCACCTTCAGTGGCAATGCCATATCGGCGCATACGACTTACAACCACCTGACACGCCATCGCTCTGCCATTATGCCATTTGCAAGGGACAACACCTTTCCTGCCGCAAACCAAGGCCTCCTGACGTGACTAAGCGTACACAACGTGCATTCCATTGCATGAATTGGAACTAAAAGGTAATGCTTATCGAACCGCAAAAGATGAACGCGATTTAATGCGCCGACGGCGTTACAACAGCCGAAGTGTAAATAAATCATAAAATTGTTACCGAGATGCCTTCACAACCCTCTCTACACCCTGAGCCCGGCGCCTACACTCACCCACATGACTGGATAAGCCAAATTCACCCTAATCCCCTTGCAGGGAACCTTAAAACTAACGATCTACTTTCAACTCTGCCTCTCAACTCCTCCCCTCTCCCCTTATTTGAATGTGAAAAGAGAAGCGATCAGGCACGTTAAGCTTGAGAGCTTAAATGTGTCTGGAATGAGTTTTCAGTTCCTTCAACCGAACACCAAATGTAGCTCTCGAGTGGTCATTTTTGTTTGGCTATGTACTCCACATCCATAACAGACCTAAGATGTCGATTTTTATTTTGGTGAGAGATTTCCTCCGACAGACGCAAGATAAGCATCCGAGTTTTTTTTTTTTGCTTTAATACAGAGCAAAAAGTAGTGCCCAGACGCCATGTTGACAGCATTCCACGTCTGTTGTAATGCTCATTACTCAAACAATCCGTTCGCGACACACATCACGCTTTCGTAGCGCCAAAGCCAGACAAAGAGGCGTAAGGCATGTGGCATTAAAAAATGGGATATACTGCTCTCCATAAATGCACAAAATTATCTCTGGCTAATTACAAAAGCAAACATCTCAAAGGTCTCCAACTAATACACTCAAGACATTTCGTGTGTTTGATGGGAGTGTAAGTTTATCTTTATGGACTGAGAGCAGCCTGCACGTTAACATTTATGTGACATTTGCAGTATATGGAGCAATGTCTGGAAAGAGAAGGACGCATCTTGATTGAGGAAACTTATTGTTATGCATTACTTGCCTAACACAGGTACAGAATGAAGAACACACTTACGAGGAGGGCAGCTCCTCTTCCCCGTCACCTTGTCCGGGCAGATCCACACTAAGCCAAACTGCACGCTCCACAATTGGCCGCATTTTTGGGCGGGTCACGAATTCTTCGTATTGATAATCTACAGTTTGCAAATGAATTTGTTGACGTGAAATTTATTTGTTCGTGTTTACATGCCGAGGGTACCAAAAGGCGCATCCCCTCTTCATCCGTCTCCTTCGTTGGTCATATACATTCACTGTGGAGGAGCCATGACAACTTATGGACCTTTGGAGGAATCTGCCATACAGCCCTTGTGGGTCCCTACGTAACGCTGCCAAATCCTCGACCTGTCTCACGGCACACATGTGTCAAGGACCAATCCCATGACACGTTGACTTCCCACATGGAATGCACATTAGCCAAGTATCTACTCCCCGATTCGATTTCACTCAAAGGTGAAATACACAGTTTGGGTAGTTGAGGTGTAGTCTCATAAAAACTGATCCGCTATCATCATTCATACGACCGCAGATACGGGTGGATGAATACGGATGCCTTCTGTAGAGCATAAAGCAAATAACAATGACTCAAGAGAGTTGATGCCCACCTCAAATTGTACCTCACAACTCGTTTACTTCCACTACAATGAATGCGGTGGAGGTGGCCTGGAGTCCAGCTAATAGCATTCAAGCTTCCAATTGCCACGCCCTTCCAATCACAGCAGAAGGCGATTTCTTTATGAAAAAGAACTGTTGACATTTAAACGGGTGGGCTCTTTCGTGCTCCAATTCTTTGACAGCATGGATTTCCCGAAGTTTGCAGACAACTGTGTGCCTCCCCTCTCCCACATATGAGATTAATAAATTATCTCTCATACTCGAGTTGCCTACCGCGATGAGGACCTCCACAACAACTTTTGTCAAAAAAAACACTCAAAATTCAAAAGTTGTTAAGGAGTTTTAAAGCCGGAAACCAATTCGGTATCGAATGGCTCCAGTGGAATTTCCCATTTCCCAACACTTGAAGCATATGGCGCAAAGACAATGTAAAATTACCGAAAGGCTAGCATACAGAAGGAAAAAGTGGTTGAGAAAGCGTACAATGCATTGTGTGGAGACACCAAATGTGCGGAAAGAATAGAAAAACTAGAGGAAAAAATTGCTTTATATGTTGTACACTACCTTATGGCCTACAAAATGACCTAACACAGCCTCCGCTCCTTTGTCAGTAAACTTCCAAATTTAAAAGTGGGAATTACAATCATGTGTTTCTCCTCCCATCAATACCTACGTAACAGTGAATAGAAGTCCTCAAACATGCATTAAGTACGTTACAATGCTACCGAGGAATGTAATTCAGTAGATCAGGATGATATGCCAATTAAAGGGTCAATATTGCCACCCAATGCAGCAAACAAAGCGAATAACTGAGTAGCTTAGTGCTGAAAATGAAGATAGCACACCATACAGAAACTCGTCTTCAGACGTTACTAAAATCTTGGGGATGTGCATAAACAATGATCGTCAAATACTATATAAAATCATTGTTCACCAGTTACAAACATCGAAAGGTAATGCATTGCCTGCTTGATGCAGAGCTAACATTCATCAAACCGAAGATCCAGTCTACAATATAGTGATCAGGTTGGACAAGTGGATAAATGTAAGTTGTATGTGGGTGTTTGGGTCGGCAAAAAGGATGAAAACACGCAACAGTTACGTAACACGCATACCCAATTGAGCCACTGCAAACACCGTGATGTAACCAACCATTCTCAGTCTTTTCCAAACGTCAAAGACCCTGAGTGCCCACAAGAAATGCTATCACAACCCTACGTTACACTGTTGCGTAGCGATCAGATAAGATTCAATTTCGACAACTCACAAGCCATTCCTATTCCACTTATTTTTGCCCAAAAGCAAATTCAAGAGAGCGAGGGAACTGTAGTGGAATAGACGCATAAAAACAACACAAGAGCGAGGCCCAAGGCTCCAATAGTGCTCGTTACTTCAGCACTAGTGTGTAAGTCGAAAAGGCGAGAGAAAAATCTGCCCGTCCTACAACTTTGCTACAACGTACCCTATCGGAACGGATCTTTTTTGGCCATTAAATCATCAGAGATGGCATCGGATTACATTAAAAAATGAAGGGAATGTAAAATATTTAGATTGTCCTGCGCTCATGAACTGGCCTTACTAATTATAATTATTATTTGAAGATGGAATTAAGTTAAAGCTGAGCTATTGTGGATGCCTTATGTCCTCTTGTCATTTTTATTCCCAAGCGGACACTTCCACGCCCTACTCTTCCTCCACTCCCCTCACACATGCTCAGTTTAAGCGAGGGAGATCATTTAGACGTCTACAGAACCGTTCACCCTTGTTCAATTGACAATAGGATAGTATAAAAAGTCAAAACACTTGAATGTTCCCTTATAATAGAAAGCCGAGGGAACTAATTGGGAGAGAATGCACTTTTGTTTCCTCAAACGGTAAGCAAGGGATCTCGAAGGATTCACGATTCCCTTTTACTGGCGGAAGGACCGCCACCCCCCTGCAATTGAAGGAGAAAGGATTTATGGTCGCACCCAAAGCGCTGGACATTTGTTAAACCCCGACATCGCTAAAAGCAGGCATTTTCTCGCAAAAGCAGGGCATACCTGCATGAAATGGCGGAAGAGGGGAAAACGAAGGTCCATGCGCTCAATATTCAAGCGCGGATAACAAGGAGCCGTTTGGAAGCCTAAAGACCGTTCATCACCAAGAATTGGTGGAGACATTTACTTGTTTCACCCTGTCAGTTTTAGCAATCTCAGGTTCTTGCAACTTTAGACTTGAGAGAAGCGAGAAGCACAGTGGAATAAGAAGGAATGGGTGGAAGCCAAATAAAGCACAGTTTTTGCCATATTTAATGGAATTGATTGCCTAAAACAGATCAAAATCAATCGAAATAAAAAGATTCGGAAAAGTTGTACAGCAAAAATTACTGCCGTCCGTGACTCGGTGGGAGGATGGGAGAGGTAACTGTATCCAAATTTGCATATCTCTTAGCTCCTGACACCAAAATATGTTTGCGCTGATGATTTGAGTGAGTTAACTTCCAATTTTCAATTTTAAGAATAAAATAACTTAGATTTAACTTCTTCTAGAGGCTAGATGGGTAGGTAGATAACAATCAGGAAATAACGCCACCACTCAATCAATAGGTTAGAATCTTTACTCTAAATAGGTTCGTCTTTTTGGAGATTTAAAAATGCATATTTGAAAAATAATCACGTTATGTGATTTGCTTATATCGTTCTGCATTAGCAGTCATCAATGTATGGGGATGGCGGGGATGAATCACCATTTTATCACCGTTCTTCAAAAGAAGTAGCAGCATGTTAAGTACAGAACCGAAAATGTGGAAGTTTCAAAGTGCAAGGACCACCGTTGATAGCAACATCAAAACATCGCGGAAATCGCGATTAGCTAAGAGCAAATCAAGTAAATTTAATAGCAACTCAACAAAATTGGTCCTGGCGTCAACCTTGACTTATAGCGAGACGTACATTCACGTAGCCTATAGTCACAGGTGATTTGAAGTTCAACCGTCAAACAGCCAAGAGTGAACCAGGCGCCATAAATTCGAGCACCAATATGCACTAACTAGAAGCTCAAGGCAAATTTCGTGTGCAGAAACTGAAAGTAATCTTAAGAAATTTGGCAGAGTTTTGCGCGTAGATCATTAGGGAAGAATACACGACAAAGCAGTGGCACAACTTTACATTTGTGACTGAGAGTTATTGTAAATAAATGGCGGCATCTTTTTGAGATTGAACAAACATCTCATTGCACAAATGTTGCAACAAATGATATTTTTATAGACACTGGAATCGATGAGTAAAGCTAAAATGGGAAATTATGAGGGTCGCAAACTTAAGGTTTAATGTAGAGGCAGCATGGGGAAAAAAAATACCTAAAAATAGATGTAGTATTATTACTGAAACAAAAGAAAGTCTGTTTACATCTTCTTCAGACTTTAAGTAACTAGTTAATTTAAAATTGTCAACCTTGATGGTTCCATAGTGATGTAAATTAATGAGCGGGGAAAGAGCTTCGACTAAAACCGTTTTAAAATCAGAGGCGTAGCAAGCAGCGGCATAAATACGACTTAGCACGCAAATAATGGAATTATGACGTATTACAACAAGGCAAAATGGTAAAGTAAGTGAGATGAAACCAAGAATTTGATGGTTCGAATAAGGAATTGACATGATCAGTTGAAATACACTTACGGTTACAACCAAGATCATGGACAGTTAGAAAAACGCAACTCCTTGATGCAAGGTTACCCTGTGATATAAGAAATTGCAAAAAAATATTTAGAAAGTGAAAACCATGGTAGTACAAACTTCACTACAGTAGAAGTAGTCCCAAAACATGAGTGTAGCGAATAAAGGCTAAGAAGCTAAAGGAAAAGTCGGCTCGAAAAGAACACAATTAATAAACGTATCAGAATTGTGTAGGCACTGCTACGCAGCAAGATAAAGAAGTTTTGCATACATTTATTTTACAATTACCTGCACGTAAACGTTTACTTTTCCAATGGGGAGTTCCAATTCGTGATGCTAAAAGGCTTGATAAAGGAATGCAGCCTACTTGCTCTGATGGAATTCCATAGGCAGCCATTTTACTTATTCCGAAAAGTCAAATAAATTAGTTCCTGCACGACCTAGAGAGTGCACCCTCTGTGGTAGGAATTAACAAAATTATTTCAAGGTAACATTTGTCAGACGATAGAAAAACATCAAATTTTATTTTGAAACTAGAAGCAACGTCATGTAATGTAGAGTCTGACAATATGACTTATTACGTAAGCATTTTACTTTCTGTATGTAATTTATGATTGCGCGAAGGCATAATGCCGCCTAGAGACTATATTAATGTAGCTGCGCTATGCAGTTCTTCTCCTAAAAGTGATAGCTGTCTAAGTTCACTATTTTGACTCATAATAAACATTAATAATGAATGTTGTTGCCTATAGTGCACGAAGGTAAATGTTACTGGCGTATATGTGGCTCCTCAAGACTGTGTGTTAATGATGCAGGATTTTGCTCATTTGATTACTTATATGACAGTCGAATACTTTGGTGTTCACTATGCTTTAGACTTGGTAGACTGGCCCCCGAGCCAAGCAAAAGCTTTCCTCCATAATTTCTCTCCGTATAATCGCCCAGAGACTTATCATTTGTATTCCACTGCATGATGGAAGTCTGAAAACGCCTCCCTGGTGGGATCGGAAATATAAACCGGTCATACTGCCCCTTCAACACTGTTTTCTCACATTTGTAGCAAGCTTCGACCGTGTGAACGAATTGCACGCGATTCGAACAGGAAGATCTCACACGCGATGACAGAAAGACTGATAACATCTGCACTTGACACATGTCTTATTTCTCCTGCTAACAGCCAAGCTAAATAAAGCTACAACAACTCCGTAAAATGTCCTGGACTTCCTAATTAGAAAGCTTTCCTTACTCCACCCGCGTGTACATGTCGGTGCTGACATTGTGACAAGCCTTCTTCTGGAACCTAATGATTGCCAACACAACTTCCTGTTCTCAAATCTTCCTCTAGCTTAAGTGTGGTTCCGTGATCCTGTTATAGTTGGAGTTGGGTATGTCTGGCTCTTGGGTGTTTCCCCATAACACGGAGTACCTTGTGCTGACTAGTGCAGGAGATGAAGGAGGGGCAAAGTATTATAATACCGTAAGACTAGTGGTCACTTTGTCATTAGGCATGCGGGTCTTTGGTGCAGACCACTGCCAACGTCTTTCCTTTTACTCCAGTTCAAGTAATCCACAATGCCCAATATCTTCTACTGTCGAATGGGAAGTCTTTGGACGTGCAGATTGCTTAGTTCTAACACACCCATAAGATTAAACATGGTTAGGGAAGACTTTAATACTCCTCATATAATGCTACTCTTCATTAAAACGTAAAAATAGTTCTAGTTTAAGTCTGTTTAAGCCTCTGTAGCATCCTAGGACTTTACACCAGGTAGAAGAAGGCATTAATTGTGGGCGAATACGTGTACTCTAGAACGAACAGTGAGATTAATCCTGAGGTTAGCCCAGAGGCCAGCCCATATATACAAGGATTGTATAATTCAAAAATTAATACTGTCTCTGTTTTAATTTTGGTCAAAATCAAGTTATTCAGAGATAATTTACCATTTAATCGATAAGAGATCACTAGTTTTGTAGCTCTATTGCTCTTAGGCTTCCCAAGGTCGAATGAATGCGATCCTCAACCAGTCCTTTCTTTGTGTGGATCGCTCCTGTATATATCGCCCTTGATCTACCCACATATTCGTGACAATGTCAGCTATAGGTGTTCTTGAGCCACAGGTAAGCTCTGCTGTCGCTTGTTTAGCGATTTGGTCTTTTCTTAAATCAACCTTGCGATCATTGCTACCTTCACACTCCATTTGATAACATCTATTGAGTTTGTTTACAGTCATCCATTTGTTCAAAAACCGTTTTTAGTGGCCAGAAGTGTCAGTTGCACTTCACGAGAACCGCCGCGAATTAGTAATATCGGATCGGGAGGGGATGGATCCCCGCATTTATCATTTGAAGCAACTTAATTTTCTTGACATATCTAAGTGCACTTTGTGTGATCTCTCGGATGAATTAAGCAACCTAAGTGAACTTTCCAAACTTTCTCTTCATCACAACGCCATATCCGAACCACCTATAGCTCTGGGAACCTTGGCCAATCTGCGTTTCTTGGACCTATCCTTTAATCTCATCACCAGTCTACCATCTTCATTCTTTGATGGTCTTTCACAATTGGAAACGCTCATGATAGACTCGAACCATCTAACTCAACTCCCCTCTCTGGAAGGACTCACTGATTTGCATCACTTATCAGTGTCAAATAATGCGCTTTCCCGTTTACCCGAGAGCATAATCTGCTGTACCAAACTTATGACTGTTGATTTCTCCAGTAACAAGATATCCGAACTCTCTGACGAAATTGGGTGGGGAAATTTAGCTAACCTCCACCTCTTCAATCTTTCCAATAATCAACTCACCAGAGTGCCACAGGCGCTGTCCGAGTGCAAAAAACTTAAAGACCTCCAACTTCAGGGCAATCCACTAAAAGATCCTCGGCTGAAGAAACTTGTTACTGCCACGCGTCCTGGTCCCGCTCTCATAAATTATCTTGCGAAATCGAGGAAAGAAGGGCGTAAAACTCAGGGAAAGTCTTCAGCTCTCAGCAACGATGCTGCAAGCACTCGAGGTGTCGAACTCTTTCCTACGACTTCATCGGCTTCTCACGATCTGGTGATCTCCACCAATGCAGTTGCAATGGTAGGCTTCTTATGGGGTCAACCAGCACTTTTCTTTTGATTATAGCCATACGTGGTGTCGGTAGTTCGACCAGATGAGGTTAAGAAGGGCTTACGACCATGCATCTTCGCCTGTATCGTTTCGGACGTCTGTCTGATGGAGGAGGGCGTGTTAACAAGCTTCCTGCGCTTCCAGACAAAGCTGCACGATGTGTTGGGGCAGCAACGTAGGATAGCTACTATCTGTACCCATGATGCCTGCAGAATCACTCTACCTCTTCAGTTTGCTCTGCAACCGGTGGACGAGGCTTATGTATGTGGCGGTGTTGTTCAGCATATCACGCTGATTAGGTAGTGATTATTAAATTTTTAACTTTTGATCTCATCCAGAAAACTCCTTTGTTTGGGATTGAAATTCTCAGTTTGTGAGTAACTTGGATGCTCCGAATAAACTATTGATTTGTATCTATGCTCCCTACATTTGAGGCGCATGTATGAATGGGGTTTATGAGTTTGCTCAAAGAAAAAAGGATTTTAAGTCTTCCATTGGAAACCTGGGGAAAATGTCGCATGTATCTACTTCAAAGCTAGCCGTTAAGCATAATGAAGTTGTTGAAAAAGATATTAGGAACATCTTGGTAGCCAAATTTGGCAGTTATAAAGTATGCAACAAATAATTAAGTCACTACAGTCTCAATGTTCTTGTTTTCACAAGTTATGCATATATCTTCTAGATCCAGCCACTAAATATGAAGAAGCACCTAACTGGACGTCAACTGCTCACTCATCTTCAAATTGAAGCGGAGTCTGAGCGAAAGAGGCGCAAACTGACCACTTTTACCGGTCTGATGCGATACCTGGAGATTGTCTCACCTCTGTTGGGCCCTAAACGTGGAACGTTGTGTGCCTCTGTTCACGCTGACATTCAACCTCTGCCAGTCACATTCGATGCTACTGGCACCACAATTTCCCTCCACCCCATCACCGGTTGTCATCAAACACGCGTATGTTTCTTTCCATTTTCCAATGGCTCTGCTGTGTAGTTAACTAGGTCACAGTTTAACTTCACTGCTGGCAACAGTTGAACACTCATACCCTCTCCAATACACCACATTGTTCAGGACTAAGTAATCACTGATGTAAGAAGGGTCAAATCAGCTGTTGTAAGAAGTGGACGATGCGTCGAAACACCGAGTAGCCCTCGTAATCCGTATTCTCCCTTACTTTCAAGCATCAATTTTTCAGTGTCGATGATCCTGGGGCCTCTAGTGATCAAAAACTAACGCATATTTGTTGTTTCATCTTGTTGATCTCTTTGTACTCAAATTTTTATCCTCTCTCCGGATAGCAGATATTCACTGATATGGAACTGGATAGCAAGAGTAGATTGCGCTCATTTGTTCCGTCGTACCAGCCAGAGGAACATGCTTCTTATGGTAGAACTTCCCAAAGTTTACGTGCTTCATTAACTTGTGTTTGGTGCCTTATAGCTAATTTCACGTAGCCTTGACAGATGTTCTACGTATCCACCAATGGTATCATGCATCTGTTTAACTTTGTCCAATCTGTCTTACAATTTCTATCACCGTGTTGTCCATTTCCATTCTATGAGGCTTGAGGAGTGTGTTAAATGTCCACTAAGGATGTTCAGAGCAACTTAACTGTTACGGGAACTGAAAGTGGCCATGCTTTATTGCGACTTAAATCTGAGTCTGTCAAAGCTAATCAACTAAACAAAAATTATACTTACTTTGGAGGATGTAGAAAGTGCTCTCCGTACTTATGTCACAATAATTGTGCTGACAAGGTGTTGCACCATATGTCTCTACTCGCTCTACATCCGAATTCACATGCAATCTGTCATCACGATTGCGTCATTTGTCGTCCCCTTCGGTCAACCTCTTTCTACCATTCCAAAACAGATGCTCCTCCCTAAGTGCTTTCTTCGCTTGGTTATTTGAAGGTATTTGAATTGATTGGTTCCGAAAGGGATTACATACCTGTCACAAATCTTTCTTTTCTGAATTATTTTGACTCTAACTGAAGAAATCAAGCCTTCAACGCCTTTCTTTTCCCACTTGTATCTACAAACTACCGACCCCATTCGCATTGAATGGTTTGTGTTGGTGGACTGGAGTAGCATTTTCCACCGACTAGCCGGCATTGGACAAGTGGAAGTCGTGTCTGCATTTCATCACGAAGACAGCAAGTAGCCCAATGGAGATGGTGTGATATGCGTTTCCTAGACGTAGACTTACTCCTAAGTTGTTTGAGGCATGCATCAATGCGACCTTTTGCTTAGTGACATCAAAAAACCGATTTTTCATCTCACAATTCATCACCTAACGTTTTTGCATCAGAAGGTAGGAGGGAGGCGATAGGAATAATAATTAGGCGTATCATACTGGAAAACACTCGAGATGGATGTACCGGATAGTGAAATGACCAGTTCCACTATGGTATCATGGTAGATGTTAATGTTTATTCACTTCACGTTTTCCATGCTTTTGTGTGAATTCGCGTTGTTGGCTGTGAATAACGAACATTTGGGATTGTTAAACGCTTCACTGTTACTGTGGTATTTACCTCTCAGGTTTCCTGCCATCAAATTATGAGGAAAGGAAGTATTTTGCTGTCTCCTTATTCCATCTACCTCTAACCGATCGCATAGCTGTTGAATGGATGTTGAAATTGCTTGGCGTGGCCCGTGACCCCTAGTGCAGATGTCCCTTCCTCCCTTTCATTAGCTGACCCGTGAAACGACAAAGATATTGCTAGAAGTGGCTGGCCAAAATGACGTGGTGTGTAAGGACATAATTCGGGCCCTTCTTGGCTGGCTGTTGCAGTACGCGCGTCCCAAAGTAGACGAGGATTCGTCACCGCCTCCGCTCACAATCGCTCCCCTCAGTATTGAGAATGCGGAGACTGGTGATCGGTATGCCATTTATCCTACAGCCACGGACATTGCCAATCCTGACTTCCTCAATGTTAAGATTGGGTAAGATGCACGACGCGGAGCTCCTCTCTTCGTTCCATTTTGAGGTCTTTTACCAGTTGAAAAGAAGACAATTAAATGTTCTGATGGATATTTTGCCTGACAATGTATTAAAGGATGTGGAGGTAGTTACTCGTTTTTCAAGTATCGGTGTTGTGGATGTAATAAGCGATTTCCGAATATTTTTAATTAATGAAATTACTTAAAGTCCAGCCACCCTGAGTTGTGAGGTGACCGGAAAGCTGAGCGGCTTTCGGTTTAGTTCATTGTGGAAACTTTCAAAGTGCGAACCTACGATCGTACCAGAAGGCAGAGGTATGTGCACTTCCTCTTATTCAGGTCCCATAGGGCAGAAAAGTTAATGTTCGTCCTCAAGAAACACCTTTGATTTTCACAGAAGCATTAGCTTCTCGTCCAAGTCCTTATGGGCGTTTGGTAAAGATGGAATCGCTGAAAACATTGCTTTGAAACGCTTCATTGAGCTTTGCAACTCAGAGGCTGATGCTGCGTGGCATCGGGGGAGATGTTTTGCTGTCGCATCGCGGTGTCATGTCGTGATGATGTTGATTCCGTCCACAAAGAGGTGGAAACGAGTGTTGTGAAATCTATCACGCTAGTGAGTCCCACGCAACGCTTGGCAGGTCGTACTAAGGCACTATCGATAAATCCTCTCGGAGGATCTACAGCTCACAGTATGAACGGCTTTTTTTGAGTGGCAAATATGAACAGGCCTATACCGTATGGGTCGCGGTGACCAATCTAGTCACTGTGGGTAAACTAACTGTGAAGTTTTCTAGGCGAAATTCTTAGCTTCGATTTTAAAGGGGAGAGCAGCATAAAGCGACGTGGCTGCTGTGACGCGGCGTGGTACTCACATTACATCCGCCATGAGAATGGTCATACGCCATGGTACCTTGTCAGTGACTTTTCGCGTAGGATTTTATTAGACCGGATCTAAAGATTAAGTGTCGACTAATTAACCCCTGTCCCGACGTACCTGTTCACGCTTTAGGTTGCATAACTTGGTGCTAACACCAACCGACAAAACTATAACATTGTTTCGCCTTCTTACTGAAGATTTTGTAACTCAGCAAACGTTCTAAGTGAGATTATTTAAGTATTAATGGCAATGTATGGCGTAAGCACCTAATAGGCACTAAAAGTGGCCTCAAGTTTGCTTGGGAAGAGATCCACTGCAGCGCCCTGAGACTTCACACCGAGTAGAAGAAAGCATTAATCCGGGCTAAATACATGTATTCTAAGGTGAGAAGGAGGAATTACGTCCTGGCTTAGCTCATGTTCCAGTCCTGAGCACAAATAACCGCCAGGCGTCGGATGACCACATAAACAAGGTACTAGATTCACACACAGTTATTCACCGTTGGAATTGCGCCTAATTTGCACCGGGCTTAGATTCTATTCATATACTCTTTCATATACTTAACAACCCTATAAATCTTAATTAGTCCTCTCCAACTATTTCATTTAAAAATGGCATGCAAACGCTGACGAGTACTCTTCCAGTACCTTTAGCCCTACTTGCTAGTTGCTTTATCGTTGCGTTCATAATTTAAGCGTTTTCCTGGAGAAAATACAGTTGGCGTCCCTACAAAGTGGAAGGCGACATTTAAAATTGGACATGGAAAAATAAACTGTCGACGTTCCTCTTGGACAGAGTCCGTTCCCCACTATGGTGCAGGAATTGTGTTGTTCTCCCAATTGCATCCGACAATGCAAAATTTTAGCAGCCAATATATATTAGAATTACGATCCAAGAAGGGGAAATGTTATTTTATCGACTCCACATTTAGACAAGGTATTCCGTTTACTGCTACAGTATAAACTTAACTCTATTTCGCTTTATGTAAGCTTACTTATATCCTGAATGAAGCTGAGGAAAACCATTTAAAAGAATAGCATAGGTGACGTATTGCTTTTTTTACTTTGCGTAGTAGTGGCAATAAAAACGGACCAATACCAATCCAGACGTGCGGTAAATGTGTGCTCCGTCTGCTTGTTGATGCCAAGTTCTCCCTTTGTCATAAGTCAGGGTGGCGACTTATTTAAACAAAAAAGATTTGCTAGCTCAATAACTGATCAGCCTGATACGGAGTGGCTTCACATGGCAGACCTTGCTGACGCAGAAAGAACTCCTCTCCTCAATGATGACCAATTTACGATTTGTACTCCCGGTTTCCCTAGCGAGGATTCAGCAAGAAGTGTCCACTTCAATGAAGTTTTAAAAGAGGCCATTGAAGCCATTAACTGTAGCGTTTTTCCCGAGAGGATTTACCAGGGATCTAGTGGAAGTTATTTTGTCAAAAGTCGCGATGGTGTAAGTGAATAGAGCTAACCCACACTGATATTAACTGATGGGCTGATTTGTTTTCTTCCTATTAAATTAGTTTGTTTTATGCGCATTTGAGTGTAATAATGAACTGGGGTATTTGACATATCCCTTCCATATTTTTTTGATTGATCCATCGTGATGACGAGCGTGACATGCTATTTTTGAATGCCATTTTCTGCTGTGGGAATTTTCATGCATCGTAATTTACCAACTGTGATAGTTAAAACTTAGACGAATATGGCATTCACGGTAGAATTTCATCTCTTTATTGTGAGTAATTAAAGGTTTTGTCGTTGTGCCTTTTCCCACTGCATTTTTACAGTTAATGAATGAGACCATAAAATAACTTGCACTTTAATCTGCACAAAGATTAGAAAGTCCTAATTATTGTGGTGCAGTTGATGGGCAAAAGATAACGTCAAATTGTTGCAGACTTTGATAGCGCTGGAATGCAAATATTTAACATTTTGTCACTGACATCTCAGGATTGATATACCGTGCCCCTTTTAGAAAAAGATCGCTGTGTTTAAGCCGAAGGATGAAGAACCCTATGGAAAATTGAATCCAAAGTGGACAAAGTGGATGCACAAGCTCTGCTGCCCCTGTTTCTTCGGTCGCAGTTGTTTAGTTCCCAATCAGGGCTATCTTTCTGAGGTGGCTGCAAGTCTCGTCGATGAAAAGCTCGGTTTAAATATCGTTCCTACCACGAAGGTTAGCCGTTTGCTTTACTTCTATCCGGCCTCTTTTTTAATGATGCAGCATCACCTTTATTGTTGCTACCATTCATTGACTATGGCTAGTTATTAATACAATATCGGTGGTCAACTGCCATTTTTCTTGTTTTGCTTGTGAACCTCATCCGTCGTCGACTGACTTCATTTATTTATCCTTTGAATTTTTTTTCGATTCATTATCAATCACTATTCTAGCTCATCTCCAACGTCTTTTTTTGCTCCTCGGGTTCTTTCACTCTCACATAGGTTGTTAAATTGGCAAGTAAGACATTCAATTACCGTGCTGCTGTGCGCGCTGCATCACAGACGAAACAGCGGTTCGCTGATCGTTTTCCTGATTTGGGGCGACACTTTCACAGACTTGGACTTCCTCCTAAGGTGAGTTCATTCCAGTTTCCACTCGTATTTTCACAATTTAGTTTCTGTTCTTTGCTGAACACTTAAAGCATTTGAATTGGTATTTTATTTTAAATCTTGCGAGTTTACATGTTAGCTAGGGTAACATTTTTTTGATTTTCGCACTTCTTAATGTTGCTTACATGTATCACGCCATTTCAAACACAAATTGAAGGAAACCTGTTTTTTCCCATGAGTAATCTGTTTCGATTTAATTACTGACCGCTGAAGGTCTTAGCCTTAATAGATTAACAAGGAAGCCGGTCGTAGGTCTTCGATAGAAGGGGCGGGATCGACCGTTGTTCTCGTTTTTTTGATTAAATAAGGCCTTAGAAGGTAATTCCTTCACACGTGACCCAGGTGAAATTATTACAGCCTGAGGTTGACCTGTCCTGTTCCCCTTTCCATTGCATAAGCAGGTCATAATTTCACATTGGTGTGAGCATTGTAACTTGACCTCTCCATGTCGTACCTCTACTATACTATCGTCACTTTTGGTCTTGATGTCGAGGATGAACCGCCTTTTCTTGCCTGTCTACTACTGTCTGACTCAATATTTACGATAGTGTTCTTCATCTAATTCAGATTCACTCCAAACTAGGGCTATTTCTTTGTGCCAAAATTGCCTGATTCAGGAAATTGATGTTTACAACAGCAGAGATCGCCGCCAAAGTAGAAAAAATAGCAGAACCATTGGTCTGCATGATTGAATGATGGGAATGGCTTTGCTTATGGTAACAACTCCGGAATACGTTGACACACACTTTGCCGCAGATTAGTCGTAAAAAAAACACTTCTTGGTCGTCCATTAGTTCCTTCTAAACTTAAAATTTTTTTTAATGAACTGTAACCATCTACTCCTTCACGAGTTCGTGAGGAGCCTTAAATTTTAGTGAATCATAATGCAATCTTGAATATACTCTTCCTGTATAATATGGTAAGTTGCGTAATTTAGTCAAAAATTTTATTCTCAAGTACTTCTTTTGATTCATGAAACAAATGTCGAAAAGTTAGGATCACAGTAATGTGAAAAAAATTCATGCCTCCAAAATGAATGTCAAAGCATCTTCATTCCATATACCATCCGTTCTCTTGTGCAAAGCGCCTGAAGGTGCAAGTTCAATGCACGCTTCTAGTTATTTTTCTCTTCCTCTTCATCCTCGCACTCCTCTTCTTCGCATCCTTCCTCTAATTCTCCTCCAATATACTGCTCGATTGCGCTTTCCGGAATTAGGGTATTATTCATTCTATAGTCGCATGGCGTGCAGAGGTGGATTTTAAATTTCTTGGGCGCAAAGCTCACCAAGTAGTTCACCGCGGCGACAAGCGAATCTTTCGTGTCTGCAGTTAGTGTGACATCGTAGTAGAAGTGCATGTTCTCGCCATTTGGCTTCTCTGCAATGTTAACATCTATATTGTAACGCATGCGCAGTGCTTGAAATAAATTGTGTTGTGAGGGCCGTTCATACATTTCCATCACGAAGAGGTCATAATTGTTTCCCATAGTTGGACATCCGTTGGATTCACACCATGCTCTCCAGTTCTCCTCACTATCTAGGTGCTCCTGACCATCAATGAAGGTCATCACCATGCGGTTCATTATGTCCACTGCCGGAGCACCTAGATTCACTGTGTACTGTTCGCCATTTTGAATCTCTCCGGGGAATCCTCGTCCTCCACTTACTACCTCACCCTTACTGCGGCGAGGCTGAAGCTTTGTAAAAATGTTTTCTTCCTGTTCTTCGCTTAGTCCCTCCTCCTCTTCTTCGGACATAGCTCTGGTGAGACTTCCACCGGAATCGATGATCTAACACGTGACTAATTCACATGATTTCCTGGCAAGGTGTTCAGCCTTTCATTTTTGTTGCTGGTGTCTTGTGCTAGGTGGGCTCTTTCCAACTCTTTGCTTCGGGTTGTCAGGACGCCTATTATTGGCTCAATCGATTTGATGCGGATCCACTGCCGGAGGAGACACAGACCAGCCTTCAGCATCAATTTGAGAAGCTGGTTGTCCTTGACTACGTTATTCGTAATACCGGTAAGTCGGTTTGAGCAAACGTCGTCCCTTAAAAGCTTAGTCTCAAACCTATTTTCTTGTACTATATGACGGATTCCCTAGAGTGAAATTTATAATGATGGAAGCTCCCTGTAGCGACTGCGTTTTATATGACAACTGTTTTATGGTGGTGAAACATAATCACTAGAATTTGCTCCTGGAGCATCTCATTTTTGCTTGCTATCCATATTATCATTGCTAAACTCTCTAGGCTGTCATTCTTCTTCTTAACATAAGGATGTGTCAGATGCTTGAGAGGACTAGGTAATGCCTTTTTATTATCCGAAGCCCGCTTGTTCCCAGTTTTTTTTTTTTTCATGTGCCAAATGAACGGTTTCTGGGCGATTTCATCGGTTCTTTCATTTCACGTACCCATAAAAAACTACCTTGTTCAGTAGAGATTAGTAAATCGGTGAGGTTAAATCACCGCAAGCTTCCGACGTTTTATTTGTTGCACGGCCCCATATTGCAATCGACTATTCCCTTTCAGTGAAACAGAAGCTACCAATGGGTTGTACTCTTACAAGGCGCTTTGTTTCCTGTCATAAAAGCCTTAGCTTTCCTCCACCTCTCTGGTTTGCATGTAATATGTCAAGGATAGGATGGCGTTAGTCGTCGCTTTGAGTTACAAAGGGGTGAGTAACCACCCTGACATGGAAGGGAAGAAGAGTTGGCAGTTTTCGAAACAAGCCTTTGAACGCATTCGAGTTTGACTAGTGGAGTGGGGTTCATTGAATCGCTCTAGTCACTTTGAGTTGACATTGTATATGAATGTGGAAATGTTGAATGACGGAAAATAGTGCAGGGTACGATATGAAGTGCTTACACACACCGATCTAAGATTGAAAGTAGCTCCATTTAGCTTGCCACCTCGGATTAGGCTGCACGGGTTTCATTTGATAACTCATTGTTTAGGCGAAGCTCTGACAAATCTTTGAAATCAGTTGTTTTCGTTGCGAGACGCGGTGGGAAGTGGGCAGAATCTGTAGCTCCTTACTTTCTTAAATTTGGATGGACTAAGTCATTCAATTTCCCAATTTCAACAACTTTTACAACTTCGGTCTTCTACTTTTCTTCTAGATCGTGGCAATGACAACTGGCTCATTCGTTACGAACCGCCAGAAGTCTCAGCACTCCCCTCAGAGAGAGTAAGTTAGCCATCTTTCTCTATTTTCTGATTTCAATGGGCTTAGGTCCTACTAACCACGCATTGCCTTCAGCAGCTGCAAACTTATAATGCTCATAATGAGATTCGCATTGATGGATTGTTTCCCCACTCTTAAGAGGCAGTAGGTGCATCTCGTTGCACCTGTCTGGGCAGTTATATGCATGTTCATGCATGCATACGTTCAAGAGATTTGGTGTGTCTCCGAATTCTGGTGCGATGCTCTTTGCTGATAGTTTGAATCATTTCATAAAGCGCCCTTTGAGCTTAGTGGACAAATCGAGTCGAACTTCGTTTCAATGCCGCAAAAGTCTGTCGTTGATTTTGTGTGGTCTTTTCAGAAACCGTCCAGAGAGGGCCCAAACTAAGCCTTTGGGCTTTGACGAGGCAAACTATGATGCATTGAGAAATATCTTCTACCTCCCATCGTATTCTATTCTTTCACGCCGCAATATCAAGCTTTGGTTCACCCATAACTGGCTGACCAACTAACTGACTGGTTTGAATTGAGAAGTTGATAGCTTTTAACGGGGGGCAAAAGTCGCCTTCACTTCTCAAACTACATACCATACCACGTTGAATGTCAAAGGCATAGCTGTCTAGCCTGATGTTTGCTTGCATAGCGAGGAGTAATCAGGTATGGGACAACTTCTCTGGTCGAGGGAGAAACTTGGACTGGTAAATCAGTGAGTCGCACGGTGTGGCATAACATAATACGACTTTATGTTGCAATCAAAGTCAATTAGGTGGGGTCATGGTGCTTCTAGCGTCTGTTCATCTCGATGGCCTTCCTCCCAACGTTTGATCCTTAGATGTGAAACGTGATATTTGGAGAGCAATACCACGGTGGATTGATGGGAGTTGCAGTATGAATGGCTTGAACTAATCCTTTCCCCATTCCAACAAACTATTTTCCCCTCCGGATCCTGACACTTGCCTCCATTCTATGCGATGCACTAAAAACACCTGCTGTGAATCTGCATTCACGCATTCTGGTAGAATACGTCTCAGTCCCACCAACGTAGATATTTATTACTCCTTTGACGTCTACATATTTGCTTCCCCTTCTTTCCTTTCAGGACGCGGTGGCTAATTTGATTGATTTTGTGAGTTGGCAACTTGACCTTACCTCCAAAAGGGGTACTCCCACTTTCTAATGCAACCTGGGTGTGTGCGTGTGTATGTTTCTGCTGTTACTTCCCCAGGAAGACAACCACCTTCCCCAGGTTTCATTCGTTGGTATGGCAGAAGGAAGGGGGAGATTTCAGTTGCACTCATTATCCTCTCTGTTTCTTTCCTTCATAATGGCTGGTCTGAGATTTGGAGGCGTGGTGGTGTGAGATTATATCTCAAATTTCACTGTTTTAATTGCTACCTTTCTCAGAATTAGTGAAGTTTTCATCAATTATTTTGTGCAGTACTACGTGGGCTTTTCGGGACGCTGAATTTTCAAGTAATGAAAATTCTATTGAGGAAGCACTTTGGCTCTTCCTTTATCCTACGAAAGCGCTTTAGGGTATGCGAGTTCTCCTCCACTAGTGATTTTGTCAAGTCGTGTGACTTCAATGCGATTGTCTATATTGTAGACCACTGTGTTGTTTCTTAGTTGCTATGATCCTTTCTCAGCATCTAAAAAACTACAAAAAATCATTCAAACGAAAGTTCTATTTTTGCCTTAAATGGTGTTGTACCTCATAAGCGATTTCATAGGTCTACATCCTGCTATCGTCTCTCCTTTACACTCGTGCAACTGAAGGACAGCGATGGTGTGTCAATCCCTCATTGCTTGAGATGGGAGTAGTTGTGGAATTTCAACGCCAGTCCACGTGAGATACTATAGGATGGAGTTGTGTGAAACCAAGGTTGTTGTCCTTGTTGAATGCTTTCGACCTGGGCGTGGGTTTATTAAACTGAGTGCCTGTAGGCTTAGATAAGTTACCTTCGGCTACTTGTAGCCATTTTTTTTGTTTTACAGAGCGCCGATTCCTCCAATTCCTCTTCATCCTCTCCACCCGGGATCCCGAAGGTTACAGTTGTCGCCATTGACAACGGCCTTGCATTCCCTTTCAAACATCCCGACGAATGGCGAGCTTGTAGGTTTCTCTTGCTTAATCTCGATTTACAGCTACCTCAAATTGCTTTACTTTTCGCTATCATTACTAACCATAAACGTGATGGACTATGGGTGTTTTTCCCTTAAAATGGGTGTCATAATTTTCCCTTATAAATCTCTCAAATGCAAGCATTACGACTTCTCCTGCGCAATCAATCTAGTTATGCATGCATAAATACTTATCCACTGTGTAGCTACACTCGTTTTTTTTCCTACCATTTAGTTGGCTCTTTTTTGTTGTGGCTTAATTTGTATAAGCTTGACCTGGTCGACATTGGTTAGTCTGAATGTTAATGTGAGGGGTTCAGTGGCCAATGGTGAGTTGTTATAATGTTTACTGTTTACTGCTACCGGTCACGTCCGGACGATTCCGGTCCTGCAGGCATACACAACAGTTGTCACGCCTTGGTCTCACAAAAGACCACCACTCTGACACTCTTTAAGGCTTAAAAATCGTGATGTTGTAATTCAGGATTTTTTATCCCCCTTGTCGGAATGCGTCAAATCATCGTTCCTTCTCTGATAGTTGAATATGTGGTGAACTTGTTTCATCTTTGATAGAAAAGCTGGCTAATGGAGTAGACCTGTTTAATTCACCCTCAGGTAAGCATTAAAGAGGCCTTTTGGGTCATCATGGTCGGCTCTAGAATGCTGCTTCCCCGGGTCTGCTTGGATATCTGTTTGCGTGAATCTTGGCTTGTATGCGACCTGGATACCAAACACATGTGTCATGTCAGTTCTCTCTGCATCTGATGTTTGGGTACACCACATTGTATCGTGTTTGAAGAAGAGGTTGTTGGTGTTCTTGTCATTTGTTAATCGGCGTCACATCAAGACGACCCATTTTGGTATTTTTCGATCTGAAATTCGCTTAATTTAATCTCGAAAATCATTTCTCTTGTTACCAAAACTCAAAATATTAATGGAAGAACCGTCTCTTAGTGGTCTGCTGGCCTTTTGTCCCTTCGATTGCTGCCTCATGAGATCCTTTCTCGTGATAGGCTTCGTACCCACGTAGTTATCGCAGGATAATATTTCATTGAGTCTCCTTCTTTGTCTCTCAAAATATTTAGTGCAGCTCGGGAATGATCAGTATGGGTCACTGTAATCGGCTCCTAAAATGTCATTCCTCTTCTCCTTAGACCCCTTCTACTGGGCTTGGTTGCCATTAGCAAAAATTCCCTTCTCCGATGACATTTGCAATCACATTCTCCCACTAATAACCAGCGTGCACTTCGTGAACGAGCTTATCCGTGACCTGTATAAACTGTTTAAGGTGAGTCGTACTTCCTCCCCTTCTCGATTCGTCTTTGCCTTCGTAGCGAACCATAATTTAGCAGGATCTTCGCAAATGTGGCGAGCATGTCCTTTCCACAGTAATGCATGCGATAGTACGAGGATGGAGCGATAGGAAGGCTGGCAGTGACACAATTATCCCTCTTAGCAATTTCTCTCTGCACAACATCAGAGTTCGAATGGGTCGGGGTGAACTGCAGGCATTTTACACAGGGATGCACATTCATCACAGCTGGATGATGTTTAGCAAAAGCCAGAATTCATGTGTCGAGCACTTTTCACTAGAACAGTTTGCATTAAGGCCACTGAAGTAAACTGCAGAGGTCAAAACTATCGTCTCGTGTGACCACATCTTAAACCCCAATATGGTGTTTTTATTCCCCTGTAGTGTAGTGTTGGCGATTTTGGATTCGGATGTGGGCTTTTGACAAAAGTAATTCACTCATGTTAGATGGGAAGTGATCAGCGATTCACACAGGTTCTATCGCATAACTTCATATACAGTATCTTTTAAATTATTGCTGAACTCAATGGCTTTGAGATGCACGAATTGGGCCCTGACATTCTATCCGCGACTTTTCATCTACTGCTACACGCACACTCACAACTACTTGTAGCCTCGGCGTCACTTTCGTCTGATGACTCCCACTTGTCGGGTTTTTCAAGAGTCTGCCTTCTTTTGTCTATTTTATTTGACACAATACAAACCAGCAATGTAAGGGGCAAAGTACAAAATGAAACGGCCGAGGTGCTTATTTTCGTCATGGATCTGGTCTTGGTTCAAACAAAATTCCGACTCACCTACAAGGCCCATTTTAAACAATTCATGTGCATTAGACCCCTCCCCTAAATTGTTTCATGTGATTTTACGGGCGAAAAGCTGATTGTATAACAGGTTTTTTCTCTCCTTCCCATTGCTTAGACGGATCCAGGATTTGATCGAAAGACGTTTGAAAAGCAGATGTCTGTTATGCGAGGTCAGGTGAGTACATCTTCACAATCTTGCCTCCTATGTGAAGTTGGCCCCATAAGGTGAACCCTTCAGTACATTCCAAAGCACTGTTCTGTTATCATTAATGTCATCTCCTTTGTTTGTCTTTCACTGCTTTCTACCAATCATCCTGTCATAGCCTGGTTGAAGTGTTCAGACGATACAATTTGAGGTTGTCTATTCAGTCATTCAACTTTGTTGATTAGTGGGTTGAAAACCGAAATTTCAACAAACCACTTCAAGCAAAGGTGTTGTTAGACCTAAATGGAGGCGTGTAAATGGACGAATTTGCCTGAACAGGGCACAGGCACAGGATATATTGGTGTGGATTTAGTCATACGGCCTTCCTTTTGGTACAATCAGCATACTGATGCTGAGGATTAGGTGACCACGTCAAAAGCTTAATCGTGTTAGAAAGATCTCATCATTGTCGCTTACCACTTACTACAGCTCGATTGTGGTGTTTGGTTTTGTGAGGTGTTTCCTTTGCAGAATTCACGAAGAGGTCTAGTTCCAGTCACATAGCTTTTTGCTTCTCACCTAGTCGTGTGATTCATACTTACAAACGGTTCGCCTGTGGACCAACTAGGTCAGGTATTGCGCTGAGTCGTGCGAACTGCCTTAGGTGGTTGTCGCATACCAAACCGTTTGCAGTACGTAGAGTGCAGAATAGGTGGCTTTTAAATTTAAAAACATTGCTAATAGGACCGGCTCTTTGATTACAAATCGTCGTAATGTGCAGTTCTTCAATTTTGATTTGGTCTTGACAATGAATCGACATGACGTGGGAAAAAGCGGAAGGAGTGGGTTCCAGTTGTGCATGGATCCTTCATTAAAATTGATCAAAAAGGAGGCCATATTACATTGGAATGTCAACTACTCTCCTTCCAGATTCTGAATTTACAGCGCGCCTTGCGTGAACGAAAAACTCCTCTTCAACTAGTTCAAACACCAGTTGTGGCAGTTGAACGAGAGAAGCGATCAATAACTCAGCGTCTGCAACAGGCAGCCCGAGAACTGCTGCCTCCAAATGTGCAGTTGGGACGAAGCGTCCCGGAAGACGAGGAGGAGGCCTGTGTTAGTCCCTCGGGCGACGAGTTGGAACCTCCAGACTCACCGGGTAGCGGAGCTAGCGGTGGGGGTTACTTTACCTCTCGCTACTCTCGTCGTCCCTTCTTCACTCGATTCTAATTGGACTGCCCGCCTATGTGATGCGTCTTTCAACTGCTTGAATCTCCCACCTTTCCCTGATCTCATTGTCTCCATGTGTGTCTTCGCCTGATTCCTTCCCCCTTCGCTCGCCTATTGAAAATCACTGTTTCCATTCCTATCTTTAAGTTCTATTTCCATGCCTTCCTGTGTGTCTGTGTATGTGTGAGTGAAAGAGAGTCCATTTTGGTGTCACTCATTGTCTCGTTTGTTTACAATTACAAGTCTATTTGCTTATGTGAACGCCTCTCGGGAGATCATCGGGGGGCGAATGGAAGTCACATGATTTAGTAAGCGTCTGGTTTATTTCACACTTGCCTGTTTGTCGTATCTCGTACATCTAGATAAAAAAACGCAATCTTCATCTCGCTTCACGAGATCGCGGCTCTTCGGTGGTTGCTCACATCCATTCAACAGCATGTATCGCATTGAATGAACTGTCGTATAGTCGTCTAATGCTTCATGACTAAACCACATAAACAGTCGCGCCGCCACTTATAACCTTATTGCGTGGGAGGTAGTTATAATGGCGTCATTATCAGTACGTAAGACGCCCCCTAGCTTCTTCCGTCAGCTTAGGATTATTGAAGTGGATGTTACAAAGAGAGGGTACATCGGATGGACGATTTAATTTACCATGACCTATGGCAAGTGAGGCATTGAAGGTATTTTAACCCCTCTGACCTCCCTACTTAGGCCAAAGGTCTAAAGCAGTTGAACTCAATGTCGAGGGAAGTCCCGGTTGAGGTAAGGAAAGAAAAGTAAGCAACGGTGCCTCCTCAAGCAATCGTAATTTGGGGTATACATTCTAACAGGCACCAACTTTGGGCGTGATAATGTGGACGAACTCTGGAGGATGGGAGAATGGGTAAAGCTTAGTAGCCAAAAGTGTCAACGTAGGCGGAAGCCTCTTTCATTTGGCAGTGAGGGGGGTCGGAGGATGATGTGGAGAGCCGGCTGACGAAACTACGGCAAACGGGGCTCAGAAGGGGACGGAGACAATGTTACAGAAGCACGCTCATGCTACATTCGAAGTCAACTACGTTAACTACCTAGCTAGTGCCTAGGTGAAGTGACTGTTGACACTACCGCCTAGTAGTGGTTTGATAAATTGCAAAAACTGAGGTGCATATTAAATAAAATAAAAAGTTGTCACCTCTGCCGTAGAGTCGTGATCCTGGCCGCCATCGAGTTCACGACTCTGCAACAATACAGTGAAATAAGGATACCATACCTTGTATAAAAGTTTTTCATGTTGCAAAAGTTTGTTTATTTTAAAGGTGATAGTAGTTTTAAGCTTTCGTTTCTTCGCGATACGTTTGAAGGGCATGAAATGACTAGGCTGTCTTCCACAAAAGAATTGCAGTTTTGCCTTGACTGAAGTATATGAAGTTGTTCTCCACATGTGTGATGAAACTAAAGGAATGCAAACAAAGCAATTTGACATGCTTGGATTTGGAGGATCGACTTCGATTTATTTATATGAAACACGGAAGCATTAGAGTAACGACCACCAATGTAGTGCTACTGAAGATTTATTAAGTAGGCGTCTCCAACGTTTCCGACTTCTATAAACTAAACGCTAAGCTATGCGATAAATACGTTTGCATAGCTTCATTTGCAAGTAAAATTAGGTTCCAGGAATCTCGAGCATACATCGATGAGGTCGCCTACAAGGCTTGGTAGGATGATAACGGCAAGTGACTATAGCACAGTGCATTAAGGCATGAACCCCCAAGGGCAAGACTTGCAGGATCCACGGAGAATAAAAACTAGCTACAACAAATGTCTGTACTTTAAACTGTCAAAGCAAACACATAATTCTAAGTGCAAAGTTTTCAGCCGCAATGTTCTCAATCACGACACACCCACCAACATCCGATCCACACCACAACATCAACAGATCACCAAACATTCAATCAGGCAACTCGTTTTCAGATCGCCGTGATGATTAGATAAAACAACACAACTTTAGAAACTGATAAAACAAAATTTATTAGGCGAGTATGGGAAAACCCATCAAAACTAATTCATTCATAGGTAGTTAGGTACTAATAGGTAGATACCTTTGGACTCCTTTATTGCTCTGTTTAATTGGCGGTTTTAAATCATTGCTGCAGGAATGCAATAATTTTTAATTAGAGACTCAGATTTCCAGTGCTGTTCAGTGGCGATAAAAAGAATTGTTCCAAGGCATTGAGAAGCTCCCACACTTTGATCTAACCTTTTATGTGAGGCACGGTATAGTATTAAGCAATCTTAACCATTCTATAGGAAAATAAACATTGATATGAGAAAGGCTTGGTAAGCAGCCGATTAATGTCTGCATAGCGATCGCATGTGTTAGAGTTACTATGGTGCTTTTGCAAGTTTCCAAATTTTTAACTCGCGATATGCAATTACGTTCAACATCGCCTTTTTGGTGGTGTGACGTAACGCTGCACAGCGTCAGGAAGGAGGGGATTATTTTTGTTGGATGAACTAACTTAAATTCATGCAGACAGTTATAAAGTATTAATAACGCATAATAATACATCATGGAAACACGTGGCATATTTTTTCTAACTAATTTATGTCTTTTAACAATCGATTTGTCTTAGGATATAACAGTGGAATTTGTAAATTGCTTTTGCTTGATTAAAAGCTATTCATTAACTCCACTGTTGTTACGCATGACGTGACTAGGATAAGTAAACTTGCTGCTATGTGATATGATCTAGTTGAGAAAGAGTTTAGGAATATGCTATTGAGTTTTTTAAAGCAACCATAGTGGTCGAAGCAAGTCATAGCATTTGAGCTCGTTTAAGAAAACATACTTAAAGCCCTTACAAGGCGGCACTGCTGGAGCCTACCTTCCAAAGTGGTTGCCTACAATGCAGTGCCAGTTGGGCGTATAACGCTGGTCAAACTCCTTCTTAATCATGTTTGCCACCGCGCGGGGTTCGGAATTCCTTTCCAGTGCTCGTCTGGCCGTCTCCAATGCATCCCTCTCCATATCCTTGGGCATTTTGGTGCTTCGCACCTCCATTTTCTCCTGTTGCTTGTACATTTCTTTGGACTGCAAATTTGAGCAAGTCTGCAGCACAAGGTGCAATGTTTAAATCACTCCACACACCTTTGGTCCCTGCCACTGGCTTTTAATCAACTTCGGCGGCAGGACGTGTACAGTCTTCCATTGGTGCAGCTGGTTCTTGAACTGTCTTGATTATGATTGGTTGAAAGTCCTGAAAGTTTCTGACGCATCCGAATTGCTTCAATTTTTAGTTTGAGTAGCACAATTTCAGTCTTTTTAACATCGCATATCAATTTATAATTTCTTGTAAAGCCCAAATCCTTTTAGTTGTTCTACTTGATGGTCCTAGCTACCTTCTTGCGGGTGCGTGGCCTCTCCTGCCATCTGGGTCGTCTGTTTGTGCACCGTCATTTTATTAGCCAACAAGTGCTACCAACAAGGAGACTCGGTTTTACTTCACTTTCTACGAATTTGCATCAGCATACGAGCCATTTATGTAACCGCATATTTAAGGATCAACCTCCCGTTGCAAGGGTAGATGGAACTGTCAAATGGTTTCCTCTACCGGTGCCCCTGAGGACTTCAATTCTAAGTAGGACTTCAAACACTTTCACATTTTTGCTTTTCATTTTATTGCATTTTTGACAAATTATTATGCGCACAAGTACAATTATGGCGCTGTTGTTGGTGCGCATTAGTCAATAAAATTTGATTGTAATGCCATCCCCACTGACTTCCTGCCACTCACCTCCTCACTCTCGATTGAGGGTGCTGCAAAGCAATGAGGATTCCCTAATCCCTTCCGATAATGGTTGACTCCGTTGTAATGGAAGATGAGAAAGTGAGAATGCGCCTGCTTTTGTTCACTTTCTTGTTCCTTTCAGTTCTTTGGTCCTTCTTCTTACAGTGCTTATATTCCAACTTTCGTCTCTGCCCCTCGGCTGACGTCCAGGACAGTGTTTATATCAAAGCGAGTCCTAAACACGACACATCCATACGAATGAGAAGGCGGCTCTATTGGCAAATCACGCCATTATTTTATTTTTCTTGGACTTTTCCCCCTTCAGGGGGTTTGACCAGTTGGTCATGCTTGCAGCCTCTTTTGAATGACTCCACGCTGCACTTCTAACCTTTAAAAATGGTTTCAAGCCAACCATTACGAATAACTACTTTCCTACACCCCGATTTTTCGAACATGAGTTCCTCCAAACTCTCTCAATAGTCCTTGCCTTGGGCAACACTGTTGATGGACTTTTGACAATCCAGATGTGTAGATGAAATGACAATTATAATGCTTATAAAACAGTACATAAAAAATATTGGCGGGAAACAGGCAGGTAGGAGTGTGTGTGTGTGTGTGTGTGTGTGGCAGCAGTCCGATGTTAGTCGCATTTCCACAGAAGGATGGCCAGATCCCGAATAAAGAAGTAGATGTAGTGTCGGAGTTGATGAGTCACTTGGCTGGAAGGAGGATAGTAAAAAGAGAAAAAAAACAGAGATTTCAAAAAGCCAGTAAATGCACCAAATGGTACAATGGCAATAACAAATAAAGGGGCGAGTGGAGACGAGAGCGTGAAGAGGCAGTAATTAGCTGATTGTGCTGGGAAGGGTGGCAAGTTCACACACCACGGAATTCGGCTCTCCCTCCCGGTAAGCAGCAAACGCATTTGCCGACCTACCACTGTGTAGAAGTTCATCTCTAAGTGCAACACTGTGGATTGTTGTAATGAACACTTTTAACCGTATTTTCACGTATTTATTTAAGTAGTTTTTGAGTAGTTTCAATTCTCCGGCAACTCTTTTGCGTGCTATTTGATCTCAGTGTCAGTAACGGCAAGTAAACCGAATCGGTAGCTTCATTTTCGCAGAATTGGACTTCCTTGACTTTTTCACTGCCTTTAAAACTGTGTTGTGGAAAGAAGTGAGACCCACAAAAAAATTATTAATTCTGCGATAGTAATATTAGCCCAAACAAATGCAAATCTCGAATGGAGTGCTGAGTGCGATTGAAATGGCGATGAGAAAGTTGATAGTCAGTGACTTTGCGATAGAATTACATTTTTGCGACTTCGTCGGTGAGCCTCAGCTCGCACGAACTGTGCACGCATTTTGCGCAACGCGAGGGCCGAATGACAAGCCGCCTCCACCGAGCCCTAGTTGTCACAGCTTTCCACACATGAAAGGCCTCTGCCTTGCCAACTACACTGAAGTAAAAGGCGTGTCGGAGGGCAAAGACGGCAGCACTTCCAAATTGTAACGATGCATGCCTTTCAGCCCACAAAAAAAGAGAAAACAAAAAATACACGATCTTTCAGCCACGCCTACGACAGACAGTCTCGTCGGTGAATTTTTA